GGGGGGGGGGTAATGTCAGGCGGGATCTATGGGAGATAGAAGTTGAAGGAAACTGGATTTTGTTGGCCCAGGACAGGGTCCGGTGCAGGGCTTTTGTTAAGTGGGTGATGAACATTCAGGTTCGGTAAGCCATCTGGTTAGGTTGTGAGACTCGAATAGGGTTTTGTTTTTTTGTGTGTGGCAGGTTTTTGCATTTTATGACATTGACATTAAGCAAGACGTGTGTCGTGCTGAACAGACGGCCTGGGCGGTGGGTCAGTACGAAGTCCAACATCGAGGGCTCCAAGGATCATCAGTACAGTCAGCTTCATAAAGCTGTCTTTCTGAACATTCTGCGTAAGGTGCCTTGGTTCTGCTGGTTCAGGAGTCTCGTTTGCTGTGGGCGATGCTGTGACAGACAGACGTCTCAGGATCGATTGGTCCTGCTCTCAAAACAAGATGCATCAGATGAACGTGAGGTTAGGTTACATAGGTCCAGGCCGTGCCATGTGCTAGAGGTGTTTCAGGTTTGTGCCACCGAGGTTATGATTTTTACTGACTGTAGCAATCCAGGTAAATAAATGTGCCAAACAATTTACAAAAGGAGCAAAACATTCCTTGAATTCTAGGTTACAACTGATTCCTTTTATGTGTTTCGTATTGATCGACTGGGTTTCGGTATCTGATACAGGTGCCTTCGTAAAGGACACAAGAAAGGAGTACCATGATGCCAATGGAAACAAGTTGCTGGTGTTTATGTCCGAGTCTGGCGTCCGTGGGGCCCACAGTTCGATTTTTTTTCTGTAGTCTGTCGGATTTCTGAGAGCAATACCGTTATCAAACTCCGATATGATATCGATTTTGTGTTTATGACAGCTAGAATGAACGAAGCAGAATTGCTTATTATTTCTCAAATCTCAGAACTTTGCGCAAGCAAAGTTCTGAGATTACTCATAAATCGTTTTTAAAGTGAGCAAAGTTCAGGTCCCTTACCTGATAACACTAGGAACAAGGACCTATGGAACAGAGTCCATCTTGAGAAACAAATAATCAGTCTCTGTACGCAAGAGTCCTCATACAGCGTTAATTAATTTAGATTACTTTATTTGTTCAGGAACACGATTTGAAAGAGTTTGGGCTCTCGCGCTGTGAAAACCTCAGTTACTAACATTACAATTTATTTCGCAAACTAATATTAACGACGCATTTGTTACAAAGCCAGTTTATATAAATGACATCCGAAGTTCTTACGGTGGCAAATACGTCACTGTCGGGGCTTCTGAGCTATAACGCCGTTTAGATGTGGAGGTAGATACCAACGTTTCGGAGGAAAATACTCTTTCCATCATCCGGACTGAATGGTATTCGCTTACAAGTCCCCGACGCTGTTACAATGCAAAAGATCAACATCGAAGAATTTCTCGCAGATTTGGCTTCGGATAAATGTTTCAAGAAAAAGTATTTAAAAAAAATAAATGGGCTAATTTAGTGCAAGAGTCTTTGGGTAATGAAGATCTCTTTTGCTGCATTAGGCTGCGGTCACAGTGCAAGCGTATTCGCGCGAATTGACGGTCGGGCGAACTACCAAACACGTTACAAGGCCTGTAACCGGTCACACTGCAAGCGAAGTTATCGCTCGTCGTTCAAACATGTTTGTTTCATTCGCGCGAATAGATGGATACTGAAAAATTAATTCATCTTGTGTTCAATGAGAAGGCTTTGTGGGACCAAAAAATGAAAACTTATCACAACAGAGAGGTTTCAAGGAAGTTATGACAAAAAATTAGTGACTAAATATTGCAATTTAAGTTTATTACAAACTCTTCCTTGCTACACCAGTACAAATTCTACATTTATGTTTGTTGAAGTAGTGGATTGTGTGTGGCACAGATAATTAGGGAACG